CATGCAGTACTTGGGTGCAGGACAAGAAGGGAGGGGTGAGAAAGTGCGAGGACTGAAACAACATGTGAAGAAACTGTGTGACTTCTCACGAGGACGAGGGGCCTATGAGCGTGATATCGTCAAAACCTACACTGGCTATCGTTGTCGTCCGTTTTGCTGGTTGCTCCCGTTGCTGCTGATACCCATTGGCCACTTGTCAAGATTTTGTGCTTTGCAAGTTGCAGGCCTACCATTCTTCTTTTGAATCACTACTTGATTCGCTTTGATTTCTGGCATGCTGAGGCTTTCTGATTTGGCACTATTGGCCTCGTCCTGCTCAGAACCCTATCCCTACGGGGCCTGATTGCGAAACCGGCTATCATGATTACGAGAATCTTTGGACGGAGCAGCGCCAGGCATACTGCTGCAAATACGCAGGCCGTGCATGCGGTCAGGCACCGCGTGTGATTCACCAAATTGTGCACATGCCTGTTGTGGAAAAAGGCCGCAACCACTATGTGCCTGTGCCAGTTCCTACACCGCCACATGTGGTGTACAAGACTCACGTGGTCCAGCTGCCGCCAAAGATTGTGTACCAACATGATGAAACCCACTATGACTGCCATGCCGGATACTCGAACTGGTACTTTGGATGGTCAGACCGCAAGAAGTCGTGGTGCTGTGATCGTAGGAGCATGGGATGCCCTGGAACGTGGCATGGCAGCTACCACATCCACACACATGTCATGGCTCATGGAGTGGGACATGCACAGGGTCGGATCTACGACTGTGATGCTGGCTTCTCGCGTTGGATGACCGGCTGGTCGGACTCCAAGAAGGATTGGTGCTGCAATCATCAAAGCAGGGGTTGCGTGAAGTTCCATTGCACTGCTGGGGGTGTGGCTCAGCAGAGAGTGGGGTGTTGGACGTTTTCTTTCCTTCCTTCTCGTTTAAGTCTGTTAGGAGCATTTTTGCTTTTTCATTATGCGACACTTCATAGCGGTGAGATTTGCGTCCAAACAATGCGGATCTGGCCAAGGAAGATACCTGGGCTGCCGACAAGCGGTCTTGGTCGCTTGGCACAAGCGATGGTTTGTTAGTTATTCATGTAGTTCTGCATGTTCTGACATGTTCTGACAATCTCTGATGTGAGGTGCTGCGAGAACTTCCAGAAAGGATGCCCTCACACCACGCTCTCTGCATTGAAGTGCCAAGCCAGCTGCACTCATGCAGGCGCGACCATGAGCATTCTGCTTTGTATGAAGGCGTCAGGGAGACTGAAGCACAGAATTTACATGGCTTCAGGCTTTTTCAATTTTTGTGTAGGTGCAAGTTGTGCTTTGTGTGCACGCGTGCTGAACTTGCCAGGAGAAACTTCCAAGTGCATTGACCGCATCCATTGGACCAAAGAGCATGTGTTTGGCAACAAGGCGAGGACACGAAGATTAATGTAGTGATTTTGTGGTATTGTGACCAGATGCAGCAGCATGAATGTCAGGCGAACGGCTGCGAGTTGGCCTACAGCAAGGTGCAGGTGGAGTGTGACATTTGCCGTGCATGCTCCATCCAGGATGGGGTTGAGGTGTTTGGATTGTGCACATCTCATGATCCATGATCTCGGGCAGATACAGACTCGTTAACCCAAACCTGCCCCAACCTTATGTTTGCAGGAAGCGGGCTGTGAAGTCCATGCTGTTGGTCAAGACCCCTTCGACTGCAATGCGGCTTTGAACAATTTCTTCCGCGCAACTTGGTGCTCAAAACCCCCGGAATTTCACAAGTCACATCCACGAATGCTTTTCTTTATTCAAGTTGAAGCTTGTGGCATGTCTGAGCACAGGCATGGTCACCGGAGAAGAAGCACTGGTGCTGTACCAAGCAGGGTAAAGGCTGCGAAGGTTCGAGTCCACCAAGTGTTGACCCTGGCTTCGGCATGGTTTGGAAGCACGTGCAGGCTGTCAGGGCTAGTTGATGAGCTAGATGCATAATCTATGAGGTGTTTGTGTGTCTTCTTCTTCTTCTTCTTCTCCTGCTTTTGCTTTTGCTTTTGCTTCTTCTTCTTCTTCTTACCCGGTGAGCACACGGTTTACGGAGTGGTGTTGTTTTAGCCAGGTGAATGGCTACTGGACCTGGCAAACTGTTCATGCAGCTGGTGGTGCCGTGCACACGAAGCTCCCATATGACTGTCATGCAGGGCTCACCAACTGGCAAAGTGGCTGGTCCGTACCAAAGAAGGCCAGTGCTTCGT